AAAGGCCCGTAGTGGAAGGGCTTGTAAAATAAGCACGTATCATGTAAATTAGAAGTGTGCTTGTGAAATTTGTTTTCCTAGCTCATGTTGTCGTTCATGTTGCTAATTGTTGTTATATGTAATATGCTTCCGCTTGTACATAACAAAAGATAAAAAGAACGGACTGTCATAACTATAATCCCGAAGCGAGGATGCTCATGACTTCAGACCGGGACGCGACCTAGTGCCATAGTCTTGGTTCGGGTCGTGACAGCCGAGACCTCACGCAGCCGAGCACCACACCGTCGTCACCTCATTGATGACACCGGCCTTTTGTCATGATGACTTCAAGCCAGCCGTGAGCTTTGCCAAGCTACGAAGCAGTAGCCCCGTATCAAACTTTGTTGAGATCTCCATAGACAAAGCTGCTGGTTCTTCACTGCACTTGCTGTCTCTCGTCGCCCGCAACATTGCCTCCGTATGACGTCGATTCAGCCGCGAATCTATGATCAGCTGCTAGATGCTCATGTTGGTCTTGTTCGCTGCCGGTTAATCCTTCGCAATTCTCAGAGTTTACTTAGGGTGCGTTTGGCAAGTTGCCAAATAGTAACTATTTCTATTCTTTTGTTCTCAGAATCAGTTTTGGAACAGAAATCCATTTGGTAAGTTTTTTATTCCCAGGCGCAAATTTGCAAAAATTTGTTCTCAGAATCAGTTTTGAAACAGAATCAAGAAGCAAAAAAAAAGTAACTTCTTTATTCTGGAAACAAGAATCAAAAATGGAAAAGAAAAAAAAAATTTCTTCTTCTTTTTCTTCTTCTTCCTGGCCTGTGGTCGATCGCCGGCTGACCGACCATAAGCCAGGGTCGGCGAGGGCGGCTCGCGGCCTGAACGAGGTCCAGCCCTCGCCAGAGCTGGCGAGGGTGGCCCTCGCCTATAGCCGGTCGCTGGCGCCGGCAACCGGCCATGGCCAAGGAAGGGGGAGGGAAAGAAAAAAAAGAAAGAAATATTAAAAAATTTAAAAAATTATTAAAAAATTATTAATAAAAAGAAATTTTGTGCAGTTACCAAATCCATTTCTGTTCTTTTTCTATTCCAAGAATAGAAATTTTGGGCAGTTACCAAACGCCTTCAAATGCTTAGAAATTATTTCCGGGCATGAAATAAAAAAGAATCATTTCTAAGCAGAATTAGTTCCCGGGCATAGAATGGTTGCCAAACGCACCATTATCGTTGCTCGTTGCCCATGATCTTTGCTATCTATTTCTTGGTCAAATGCAGTGGTCTTCACTATCTAGGTGTCGTCCCTCTTGTTGCCAGGTTGACCTCGTGTTGTTGTGGGTCCAGAGTTGCTGCCCTGTTTTCTCTAGTGAACGAGAGTGACAAAGGGACCGACAAGTGTGGAGGCGATCGAAAGTGAAAGAGTGATCAACGAAGCTGGAGGCCATTGAGAGCGAGAGTGAGAGACGGAGGCGAGGACGTGAGATGAGTGAGGCGAGAGACGAAGAGGAAACTAGGGTTTTCATTTGAAAACATAAAAATTAAAAATATATATGATTGTACCGGTCTGGTTTAGGTGAGTGATTCCACACTTGAAACTGGAAACCGAACCCGTACTTTCCGGTTCTAGTAAATTGAAGCCCGAAATCGTTAGTCCGGTGTGATTCCGAGCGGTTCGAACAATTTTCGATTCTTTTGCACATTCTTACTTTGCACCACTGAGTTTTTGAAGAAGAAAGAAAGACTCTCTTTTTCTCCCTACGAAGCTTTTAAGTGATAAGAACACGATTACTTAAATTTGACATGAGAAACTGCTTTTAAGAAAAAGTATAGTAATAAAAGGTCATCTTTATTTTTCCTCTTGCTCGTGCCTTTTTTTCTTTTAATGTCTCATGATCAAACTGAGACCAGAGAGGAGCATTAATGTTGCACAACCTAAGTTGGTACGTAGTCTTAAATGCATGGATAAGACAGAAAGCAAAATTTGGGGGCAACAGCCGTCACCAATTGCCGGCACATTTACTGAGCATCAAGCGAAGAAAAACAACCGATATCACATTTTTTAATTTCTAATAAGCTTTTTCAATAACTTTCATTTGGAAAGGCATTTATAAAACTATTCCATATTCTACCCTACCATATACAAAATTTAAGGTAACAATAAGTGAACTCTGATTCTGTGGCCAATTTTGTTTTTTGATAAAAACCAGTTGAAATTATGATTGTGGTGACCACAACAAACGCTTCATGATCGCTCGTGTGGAGCTTCAGCGTGCAATTTTCCATTTGATAAGCATGTCCGATACATTCGATCTTGTGGCACGGGCCGATCAGAAGGGATCTAGGGGGCGAGAAGGTACGAACGTTGCAAAGGCAGCAGATTCGTGGCGAGAAAAAGATGTATAATGGAAAAAAAGATCATTCTTATGGGAAAAAGAGGAACTAAAGTTTCAGGGGATTAACATCTTTTGCTAAACATACAAATACAACAGATATAAATACCACATGTACCTGCGATGCAGATTGAAGGGGACTGGTGATGAATTGAGTGGACCATCCGGGTCCTACTGCTGACCCAAGACTCTCAATTAGACCACAAAAACGTGAGCTCAATTTGCTAGCGATGTGGGGTTCCTGAGTTTGTCCGGTCACAGTCACTCCACTTCAGTGTCTCCTCTCTGCCTTTTGAGAGAGGTAAGGGCGACGCGATCGTCGCAAATCACATGCCCAGCGTCAATTGAGGGATCTTTATTGCATGCACTGTCGGCGTGAGAGACTGTTTGCGCATTCCTCGTCGAATGATTGACATGTGAAAAAATCAGATTACACGATCGATATTCAACACGCACGCCACTCATCCAACGAAAAATGCAGAAGAATAATTTCACCTCAGCGATAGACCTACGAGTAATGCATTTCAGGGAAAAGTATTAAAAAAGTTCTAAACTTATTGCATTGGTACCAATTCAGTCCTAAACTTTTCAATTGAACCAATTTAGTCATAAATCTTTTCGCATTTGTACAAATTCAGTCTATCCAACCAATTGAGGTCGGAAATAACTGACATGGACGCCGGGTATCTTACGTGGCACAACCAATATCGATGTTGATATTTTAAATATTTTTTTGAATTTTCTATTTATTTTTATTGAATTTTTTTCTTTTTTTTCCTTTCCATTTTCTTACCCTTTTCTTTTCTTTTTGCCGATGGCTGGCGAGAGCTAGCCTCGCTTGGGCGAGGGCAAGCGCTGGCGAGTCCCCTCTTGCTAGATTTGGGAAGGTTGACCCTCCCCCTAGCCTGGGTAAGAACCGCTTCTCAAGGAGATCCACACCGTTGTCCGTAAGAAACGCCTTGAACTTCATCACCGTCTTCGAGTTGCTGGTTTCTCTACATGGAAAACAACGCACACAAGCACAAAGAGAGATAGAGAGGCAGGAAAATCGGATGACGGGACTTGCCGGGTGTCAACCTTACCCAGGAGAGGCGCGGCGAGGTCGTCCCAACCTGGGTGAGGGTCGGCTTCGCTAGATTTGGTGAGAGGGGCCTCGCCAGCACTTACCCTTGCCCAGGTGAGGCCCAACGAGGGTGACTCTCGCCCAAGCGAGGCCAGCTGTCGCCGGCCATGGCCTTTGGCTGGTGGTCAGCGACTGGCCACCAGCAAAAAGAAAAGGGAAATTAAAAAAAAGAAAAATTTCCAAAAATTTTTAAAAAAATCATTAAAAAATATTTATGTCAGCGCCGGTCATGCCACATAGGACACTTGCCATCTACGTCAGTGATTTTTGGCATAAATTAGCCGGATGAACTGAATTGGTATCAATATAGAAAATTTAAGAAAGAATTAGTACCCGTGTAATAGGTTTAAGACTTTTTTTTGTACTTTTTCCATGCGTTTCTTCGCATATGTATTTATGCACTTTGAGTCATGGTCTATGAAGAAATTCTCACCGCACATATATAATTTTTGTGCGCCAAAAACATTTTCAAACAAGCTTTTTCGGGAGGATAGTGGGTAGTTAATTTCTTTATATTAGCTATATTCATAGTTAAGTTAAAATTGAGTAACAAAACTCAAGGTGCAAAGTGTAAGCATTCGAAGTATATAGTACGCAAAATGTACGTGAAACTTGAGCACGGCATCTTATATTTTGCTTTTAGGTTTTCTTATTTGAATGTTGACTTACAAACTTTATGAATATTTAGTCTTCCTAGAGTTAAGGGGTTAAAATTATTCAAGTTAAGTATATCATCAAAATGAAAAACTAATCATCACTTAACAAGTTTTGCAATATCTGACCAAAAAAAGAAAAACAAGTTTTCCAATAAGTTCTTATACTTTTGTTATTAAGGAACAAAGGCACCAGAAGTCCTTGAATTTTTCTAAAATGTTAAATGAGGTCACTGAACATTATTTTTTTTTTTGTATAATTGGATCCTTCAACTATACATTTTTTTTTCTGTTTTGGTTGGTCCTTCCGGAAAAGTTACGGACAAAAATGCTGACATGACCGCTAAGTCACCGCTAAATACTGACGTGGCGTTTAACAGATAAAAAATAAATCAGACATAAAGAGTAACGAAAAATTATTATTAAAATTTTGGCAGAAAAGGAAATTAAAAGAAAAGACAACAAGGAAGAGGTGAGACACTGCTACGATTCACTCGTAGGCTTATAGCCATTGAGTTTCCAAGTTTCTCCAAAGGCAGAAAGTGTAAGGGACGAAACATACGGACAATCGGGAGCACCGGGGGTGGTTATGGTCTCGATCCCGGCAAAAGTTGACCAGAGGTCGAATGAGGGTCACGCAACCACAGCCCTGTGGTCGCGCGACCCCGGCGAAGGTCGGAAAGTGGATCAGACCAAAAAAAAAAAAAAAAACTTTGGCAAAGTGGGAAAAGAATTCACAATTGCGTTTTCCACTATCGTCTAGACAAGCATGTAACGAGGCCCATCAAAACGGCCCAAATGCTTGCTTCCTATGATCCTATCCAAACAAAGCCTACCAACTAAACTAAGGACATAAGATATTTCTCACTCGACACGCACACACCTGCCCCTCGGGCAAAAATCTCTGCGAGCTGACCGAAAGCGAGGCGAACCGATTCGCGTTCTTCTCCGAGCGATTCCCGCAGCCGATCGCGTCGAGCGTCAGGTTTGAGAATCTTCAGCTCCTCCCTCTCCCCCGTTGTCTTGCTCGCATCGATTCGTCGCGATTTCGCGTGATCGAATGGCGCCGCGGTTTGTCGGTTTTCGAAGGTTTCGATCGGTTTGTCGGATGCACGAGCCACTTGTTCCGGGGGGGAGAGATTCCTCGGGGACGTCCGTGTCGCCCTGTTCTATTGATGTCGTCGTCGAAGAATTAGTTTGCTTTTCAATGTAATCAGCGAAGCTCGAGCTAGGTTAACGTCGTTTGGTCCCCTGAATTCGAAATGGTTCGTTTATTTTGTTCTTTCTTTTCTTGTTTGATTGCTTATGTCGGACAATCGAGCTGCGTTTCGTGCTTTCTGAAGTGCGCGAGCGACGTTGTCTTAGTTGGTTGGTGTTTGGTTGGCCGTTGAAAATGCCGGGAGGCGAAATTCGAGTTATTTACATTGGATAGGTTATGAGAGCTTGGAGTCCTGATAGGACTGAAAGTGTTGTGCATCGGTTCGTGTTCGATTGCATTGTACGCGGCATGTTTTGTTTCCTCCTTTCCATGTGCTTATTATGTTGAGAACGATGGCCGTTTTAGCAGGTGCTGCTGTCGATCATGGACGCCAAAGCTCAGTCTTCGCCTCCAAATAATGCCGACGTGAAGGCTGCATTCCACAAGCCGTCGAACGATGCGTCTAATAGGAACTATCGACGTCATTCTCCGGCAAGCAACTCATCTTCATCCGACGGTCCGTTCCTTTTCCCATCTTTCTATGGGTGGCTTATGGTGTTGTGAGGTCTCGATAGATGTCTGTTATATATGTAAATTCTTGAACTGCTCGTTGTTGACTATGTTGACATTTGTGGACAGTGGTCTGTGCGGTGGTTACGATGAAATTTTTAGTTTGATTGGATCTTCACTGCTCAATATCAGTTTTTTAGTTCAGTGTGGCACTTTCCGAAGAGTATAGGTCTCAGATGTCTCTAACTGATTAGGTCGTATTGCTTGAGCTGTATTGTTGCTTACATAATGTTTGAAATACATCGGCCCAACTATGGCTGCTTGGCATTTGATTTTTCATGGGTAATGCATGCAATTATTATTCAGCAATATAATGATATCATCTAATATGTTGCTCCAAGAGCCATAAGTAGAAAAAAAAAATTGAGAGGTTTGCATAAAAAAACAAAATGACAAGGACACTGTCTACATTTGGCAATATAGAGGAAAGCTTATGAGAAGAATTATTGGTTTAAAAATTGGTGGATGTATGCGTTTTAAAATTTGAATAGTTACTTCTACATTCAAAAGAAAAATCTGCTTTCTGAATCATTCGTGCATGGCGTTCACTAGATATGTCGGAACTGAATTGTTTCTTTGGCTAATTATTCTGCATCAACATTACCTAAGTGAAGTATCATACTGAAAAAGTGCTTCTCTTGCTGAAAACAGTTTGTTACAAAGCAATTCTGCCTAATAAGAATATGTGTTTTAGAATATTTTGTCAGTAATTGCTGTTAGATACGTGTCTCTTCATGTTCTTCAGGAAGTCCGGAGCATGACCGGGCAAGGGATGATGCTTCTAGGCCCCCTGAATATCGAGAAAGAAGGAAGGCTGGTGAGAAGGATTTATACAAAGATTCTGGCCGGAGCCATTACAGCAGGGGTGGTGATTCATATAAGTATGCTGATCGTCATGCCTCCAGGGGTTCTCGTGGTTACTCTAGAATTGATGAGCAGACCAGACATCGCATGGATGAAGAAGAGAGGGATCATCACAAGTCCACTCGTGGGGGTCGAGACTCAAGAAGGGGTTCTCATTCTGATCGTACAAGGCGAGAAAATGACTATAGCAGATCGAAGGACTTCACGCAAGATGAAGACAGATATTCTCGAGATAAGTATGATGACTTAGGTCACAGAAGTAAAGATAGGGAGAAAGAATCTGGGAGGAGAAACGATAATTTTGAAGAGTCAGAGAGGGATCGACGTAAGCGGGATGCAGATGATCGAAGTGAGAGAAGGGATTATCACAGGAGTTCAGGAGATCGCCGAATTGATAGGACTCTTTCTAGAGAAGAATCCAAGGGGTACCATAGTTATTCTACTGCTAGAAGGGATACTGATGGACATCAATCTAAAGAAGGTTATCGAAATGATCTGAGGGAAAAGCTTGCCAAAGAAAAGAAGAGTACTGATGATCGCGACATTATGAAGGACAAGGATCAGCAGAAAAGAGGAGCAGAGAAGCATTTAGATGATGCAACTGTCTTTAAGAGTGACAAGAGTTCCCCAACCAAAAGACCAAAGCTTTTCAGCTCCGAAAGGGATTCTATCTTCACCAAGGATGGTAATTTTTGTCTGTTGTTAATTTAAATCATTCACCACTCTCTTCCCTCAAGATGGTCTGATATCAGTAGGTTTGGTAAATGCGCGTTTTTCCTATTTTCCTTTCCTTATATTGCCTTGCTGAATTTATTATTTGTCATGGTAGATGATGCGAAGCACTCATTAGGCCTGAAAGAATCTCAGGAGACCAGTGTCAAATCAAATGAAGCACAGCCCCATGCCAGTGGAACTGAGGCTGCTAATGATCTGAGTGCTGCAAAATCTGCTGCTATGAGGGCTGCTGAAATGGGTATGTTCAGTCACTGTTTTTGTTTAACATTTAACTTCATTATGTGCGGATCTCTTTGCCTTAACTTGTTATGATCTGATACATCCCACTTTGGTTAGCTAGGATGCTCCTGTGTTCTACATGTTGCATTTCTAACTTTTTCTGGTTGTGACTTATCTTGCTGGACTATGCTATCAAACGGTGGTGGTGATTTATTACGCGTATGTTGGCTTCTTATAAACAACATTAACTTCCTGCTGGAATATCCTCTTGGTAACAATTATAGATCCTTGAGGCAAGCTTCAGTTATTCCTCTCTTATAATTCATATGATAATTTTTCTGTCTCTATGTTCACAAGGGGGATGGTTGTTGGTTTGACTTGGATCTTGTTGATATTGATACGTTTTTTAGGCAAAAAATGCTTCAGTTAATTTTCTCTGCTAGTTAAAATAGAATTTTTCTCCTCTTTTCTCTCTGGGGGATGGCTTTGGATGGCTTTTGGTTGTCATCAATAAACTGATTGATTCTTTGTCAAATCAGGTTTGCGATGCCTGGCATATGCTTCAATAAGGAATATTATATATGTGATTATGAGTTCAAGGATATAAGTTCTGTTATTTGTTCCGCTGTTTGTCTAGTAAAATTTATCTTTCCCCTTTATCTTTCATTTTAGAAACATTGATGACTCCAGTTTGTGGAAAATTGCATTAATTTGTTTTGAGATTTTTTTGGGAGATGATTTTGAAGCATGATTGCTTGGTCTTTGACCTTTGCCTAAACTGTCTTGTCTCTTAATTCTATCGTTCCCTCATCAGAGCTTTCTCTTGATGCTTGTTATTGTACTGTATTTTTCTCATCCTGTCAATAATATAGAACTCTACGTGTCTATGAGCCTTTTCAGGTTTCTTCCGAAGGCAAGGTTATTCTGGGGCTTTATAATTTAAGTTGCCTTTTCATGATACAGTAATATCTTTTCCTGCACAGTTTCCTTGAACTGGTTTAGTGAAACATGAAACCTCATACAAAACTTGTGAAACCTGATTCATTTGTCTTACCCTCCTGGAAGCAGGAGTGGTTTATCAGTCAAATAAAATAGTAGAATTGTCAGAAGCATGGGAAAGTGATCATCCAGCCCGCTCTTGTAGCAGCACATTTCCATCCCTGCTTTTTATACAAAGAATATGCACGGGTTGATTTCTTCTGTTAATTGATATTAAGGATGTTACCTAATGAGAAGTTCTCATTTGCTATCCTCCATCACATTAATTGAATTTTCTGTACTTGGGGATCAATGCATCTTGAGGTGGAATTGGGATAACATATGCAGTGCTCCTTTCAAAGTTGATGTGTTATTGTGATGTTTTGATCTCTGTAACTATAATTGCTTCTGCGGTGATCATATTGTCTCTTTGAATTCAGTAAATAAGAATCTTGCTGGTGGGTTTGGACCAACGGGCTACTTATCTACTGAACAAAAGAAGAAGCTGCTTTGGGGGAACAAGAAAAATACAGTTACTGAAGAGGTATTGCGATATTTTCATATGCTTAGATCTTGCCCATTAGATGAAACTTTCCACACCCGCTTTTGCTGCTTTCTTCGAATCTAATAGTCATGCCTCTCAATCTTTGCAGTCTGGTCACCATTGGGATGTGTCAATGATTGCTGATCGTGAACGGCAAGAAAAATTTAGCAAGCTCATGGTAAACCCCATTTCCCTTTCTCAATGTACATTGTTTCATAAATTTTCAATAAGGACTGTTAAGAATCCTTTGTTGCTTAGCCTTAGTAAGTAAATCCTCTTTCATAGAGTTCACTTACTAACACTTTTTTAGAGTCTGAGGTTACCTTGGTACCTATGGCCAATTGTAGGGTGTGAAGGGCGAGCTCAAGGCGGAGCCAATAGCAGACAGCCAAGATGGGGACAGCCTTCTGCGAGCCGAAAAACAGAAGGAGCTGCAATTGGATTTGGAGAAACAATACACTGCCGGGCTTCGAAGGAGGGATGGCCGAACAGTTGGTCTGGGACTCTAAAGACTTTCAGATTTACTGTGTACGACTTCTTGCTGCGATATTTTGTAAAAGTTATGCTTCTAGTACCTTTAGCTTTTGGTATGACTAAGAAAGATGCCGACTTGCATCCCGGAATTTCAGTATTTCGCTGGGAAGATATTAAGCGCAGCTTTGCTGCGATAACTTGGTATGCCTTGCACACTTTCTTAGCACTTTAGCGCATCGAGCATCTACGATCCTCGGCCAACTAATCTTTTGCTTGGCTCACAGTAACAGTACAATGACTCTGCTAACCAGAAAGCAGGCTTATCCAACGGATTGATTCAAGATTTCTTCAGCTATATGGAAATCTTGTCGTGATCGGTTGTACCAATGATCTGAGCATTGGCGGGTGTCCATGTTAAAAGAGGGGGTGACGCAAATAGGCGACAAATCTCAAGGCTAATGAAATGCCTTATTCGAAGGTTTTTAATATTTCCTTATGGGGTGTAGTATTTTCTTCCGGAGGAGAGAGATGCTTAGTGATACAAGGTCTCTGTGCTCACCTTTTCTTTCTTCGTAGGGTGATCATTATCCACGCGTATAAGAACGAGGCAGGCTTCATTTATATCGCTTAGAAAAATTAGTTGTGGTTAATAGCTGAAGTCATTGTTCTAGCTATTAGATGCATGATTGTATTGCTCAACTCCTGGTTAAGAAGAAATGTTAGGAATGCCTGCTGGATCGGATAAGCCATCGCGAATATTTCCCTTCGCAAAACAACAATAACAATTCAATTGCAAACTTTCTTTCATGGCTCAATTTGTCTGACCGAGTCTGATGTTTCTGCTTTCGAGGGATCTTGTCTCATCCCTTTTCTCAATTTCAAAGTTTCAATAAAGATTTAATGACAATTTCTTTAAGAAATAGCTTGTTAACGCTATCAGTGACGCACCAGCTCGGGTTTGGCTAAGTCGCAACTCTCTACGCGCGATGAACTCGCTCTCGAGATTTGAACTCGCGCTCTTGTGTAGAACCGGCGCGGTGGGATTTCAAACACTATCGCCCCTTTTGAATAGTCGTGGCCGTATCGGAGGGGGACGTTGCGTCGTAGATCCCTGGCGAAGTCCGGCGACAGGAACGTTGAATTTAACAGTAGCAACATCGAGCTGCATCAAACATTAGTCGAACTTGACAGAGGTCAAGGTCGGGGACGCACGCCACTTCAGTCCTCAGAGCCACTCGCAGTGCCATTCTTGAAGAGGACTCCTCCTCCTCCTCCTCCTCCTCCGCGCGCCTTCTTCGCTCGACGCTCTCATGGCGTTCCCCTTCCTCCAACGGACGAGGGCCTCCCTCGTCCTCGCCGTCACCCGCTCATGCCGTCGCCGCTTCACGTCCGCCGTTTGCAAAGGAGGAACGCCTTCCGCTCTCCCTCGAGAGCCATCCCCTCCCGACCCGAAGCGGATCCCTTTCGCCGTCTCGGCCCACGGTCGGACGTGGCAAGACCCCTTTCACTGGATGTCCGACGTCGACGACCCCGAGTTCGTGGAGCACCTCCGCCGGGAGAACTCCTACGCTCAAGCTTTCATGGCCGACACGAGGGAGCTTCAGACCCAGCTGGTTTCTGAAATGAAGAGTCGAGTCCCGGCCGAGGTTCGTACTCCGCCGGAGCGATGGGGTCCCTGGTCCGTTCTCTGTCTTTTACTCTGTTTTTTTTTTTTTTTGTTTAGATATTGATTGCTCGGTCATGATTCCAGACCAGTTGTTCGTTTTTCCATTCGGAGCTTCTGTTGATGTTTTAAAGCGGGAATTTAGGCCTTTGGGCGACCAAGAAGTGTTGTTCTTTATCATGGGCTCGTACTTTTGTCTGCTTCGTTTGGGTGTTCTGGCTGGTTAGTTGCTTGATGCTGCGCTAGCTCATGGATAAATGTTGCTTCTTGTTTCCCAGGGCATAACTGCGAATTGGGAAGCTTGCTTTAATAAATCTGTTTGTGTGTGTTCCCAAGTCCCACCTCTATGGTTTAGTGAAAAAAATCAGCTTTCTAGGCGATGATTCAAATTCATCGGTGTACTTTGTAGTATTTTGAATGCCCGAGGTACAAGGTGCATGCTTTTCCAGATTTCACTGCCCTATCTCCCGCAAGCTTCACAATTGCCTGTTTTACTACATATTTTTATGGGTTGATTGACATTCTCCACCTCAACCTGGACCTTTCTGAACATGCCTTTTGACAGTATTATTTTGACCATTTGGGTGGTTCCTGGTGTTGTTGAAATTGGAAGCTACAAAGCTGAATAAGTGAACTCTACTTACATCATTATTATGGTCAAACAGGCTATATTACCAATACATACCCGAAGGGAAGGAGTTTCCAGTGTTATGTAGGAGGTTGCAAGCTGACAAAGGTTGGGCAGAAGCAATTCTTAGCTATGTGAGAGGACAACAAGGAAGAGAGCAGGTCCTACTTGACTGGAATGAAATAGCAGAGCAACATGGCAAGTTCTCTGTATGCTCATTGATAACTTATATAGGAAAAGAGCGGTGACTTAGTCTGTCGTACTTTTGCTTGATACAAATTTTAATTAATCAAATGTCAGTTTTTTGGGATATCTCCTTTTGGTTATCAACTTGTTTAGAGCCTGCTTCTTTTCTTTTTGCAATGATTAACTCCTGTTGAGGGGGTGTAGGCTATTGGCTGTAGTTTTTTGACTTATGGCTTTCTGAATTTGGTTTTTAACTCTGGGTGACTTTTAGTAGTGGTAGTGTTTTGAAGGTGTAGCATTGGAAGTTAATCTCTTTTGACTTGTTCGAAAGATAATGATATTGTAGATCAGAATATGTTGTTACATCAGATATCGCACTCTAATGCTATTTTTTGGGAGATTGGTGAAAATGGGGGTTACAAAAATTGAGTGGAAAATTTAAATTTATTGTGAGATGAAAAAAAAGGAAAATTTAAAATTATGAGTATTTTCCTCCCAATTTCTTCACCTAGGAGCTCCCAAACATAGCATAAAAGTCAGTTTTGGCAGTTCTTTTTGTTTTTTTTTTTTTTTTTGATGACCCAGGAACCCTCGCACGGCCAACAGCCGGAGGGGTAAACCTGGGATGACGCTAGCGCAGGACCCACCACCACGGCGCCACACTTAAGAATCCCTAACGACTACGCTGGGGTTCGAACTCTGATCCCTTCGTGGGGGGATGAGAGCGCAAGCCAACGGAGCCGCTGCGGGCGGTGGTAGTTTTGGCAGTTCTTTAAAGTTCACTGAAAACCAAAAAAGCATTAGCCAAAAGATGGGGGAGCAGTTGTTGCTTGTCTTTACAAGCTGGCTTGTTAAATTGATTTTGATGCCAAATGGCTGGGGCAAACGCCCCTCCAAAGCAGCTCTATAGCATAGGGCCAAAATTTTACTTTTTTTTTTTCTCCCGTTGGTCCATGAAATAAAGGCTACCCAGAGTATATATGGATGGAAAAGAGGACAGACAAGGTATATCTTTACAAATGTAGTGAATCTTGCAAGATCCCCTTTGTGTCTTTTTACTTTGACTTGGTGTTGGGTGATATCTTCCCATTGATGCATTAGATAATTCGATTCTTACGAGTTCTAAGTTTCAGTCGGTAAATGTCAGAGACCAACTTCTGGAGTAAATGAAACATAGTCTTAGATATAACTTAAGTTGGAATTCACCATGTTTTTCTTACTGAAAGAGTATGTTCTTTTCTCGCAGTAAGCATCTCTTTTAAAATTGAAATGACTTTCTATTCATCTTTAGGTTATGTCCATGTGGGTATGTGTCGAGTTTCCCCAGACCATAGCTTTCTCGCTTATACCGTTGACGTTAATGCAAGTGAGTCGTTTAAGCTTCAAGTCAAGGACATAAATAAGGGATGTATACTTCCAAATATCCAAGTTGAAAGGGTTGTTAGCGTGGCGTGGGCTAAGGATGGCTCCACTCTCTTCTATACTCTATCCGACGAGCATCAACGACCTTACAGGTAGTTATATTGATTGCTGAAGTTGATCAAATTCCGTGGTTTCCTAAAATTTTATTATCAGTTTTTGCCTGCAGGGTCCTCTGCACAAATTTAAGATCAAGTAATTTGGAGAATGCAGTGGTTTTCACAGAAAGAGATTCTAAATACTGTGTGGACATCACAGGAACGAAAGATGGCAAGTTTATAACTCTTAATTCAAGCTCAAGGAATTCGTCTGAGGAAGGACCTTATCTATTCCATTTTCATTTAATATGCAATTTCTATGAATTTATAGAGATGTTAATATGTCTTTTGTCGTCAACGGTGGTTGTCAATATAGCCCGTCACTTTTCTACAGGTTTATGTTATAGATGCTGACAACCCTCTTGGTGGCTTGAGAAGAATATGTAAGCGTGTATCTAATGTAAGGTTCTTCGTGGAGCATCACTATGGTTATTTCTATATTCTCACAAATGCCCCTCTCTGTGAAAGTGTGGACTGGAATGGTCATGGTTATTACTTGACCAGATCCATGGTTGAGGATCCAGAGTTGGGCAAGTTTCAGGTGACTATTTTGTGATGTGCTACAAGTTAGATTTTGGATGTTATAAGTTTAATTTTCTTTTCTAAATTGAGTATCAGATTACATTATTTCTTTTCTCCTTTCGGTTGTCTGCAAATTTTTTATCTTTTGCTTTTGGTTCCTGGCAGAATGTCATCCTTCCTGGCGAAAGTATCACTATAGAAGACATGGATGTTTTCAATGGACATCTGGTGCTTTCCATTGATAAGCAAGGTGTACCTATGTTATGCTCCATCAATTTGCCCATCAATGTTAATCCTGAGGTCCGTCACATCTTTTTGCTGCATTTAAACTCTTTCCTAATAGAAAACATCTCTATATATTAAATTTATCGGATAAGTATACTGGAAAACTTGTCATGAAAGTGCACTTGAGTTCTCAAACTTTCAAAAAGTGCAATCAAGTCCTAAAACTTGTCACAAAAGTACAATTGAATCCTAAAACTTTCAAAAAATGTAATTAAGTCCTAAAACTTGTCAAGTTTGTGCAAACAAGTCCTTCCATTAACTCTGTCTAACTTGACAAACAGAAAATGCTAAAAAGTTTTATGACTTGATTGCACCAACTTGACAAGTTTTAGTACTTGATTGCACCAACTTGACAAGTTTTATGACTTAAATTGCTTTTTTTCTAAGTTTTAGGACTCAATTGCACTTTTGTGATAAGTTTTAGGATTTGATTGCACTTTTTGAAAGTTTTAGGACTTAATTGCACTTTCGTGACAAGTTTTAGAATTTCCAGTGCACTTATCCCTAAAATTATCAACTCAAAGCAGTAATATCTCAAGCTTTTTTACGATGTCTCAATTATTAGATACTTTTGTTCAAAAATTAAAGAAAATGATTGTGCTCAATGTATATTCGCTCATGTCGCTAATACATACACGGAATATGTTTTTATTAAAGATTGTTGCAAAATATCAAACATTTTCGGACAAACAATAGAAATATGAATATATTACATATTTATCTTCTCCTTTCAAATGTTTATTAAAATATTGTTTGTAGTACAACTTTTAATCTTAGTAAAAATATGGCTGAAATAATTGCATGTGGTACAAGTTTATCACTAGTGTATCCATGATCTTGTGTAGGCTTTTCTCTTACGTTCACCTTAATCTGCAAAAATTACCTTGGATAGGAATATAGAACTGGTTTATTCTAATATAATCATTAGAGCTTGTTTGGTGCGTCTTTTCTTTTTGTGGCCTTTAGGCTTGATCGAATTCTTTTGGCAATTGTTTGTCTTTCTTCGTTTTTACGAGCTGGCTTTTACTTCAGAGTTGCATCTTTTGATTTGATTGATGCCTTTGTGCTGCCTCTTGAATTTTTTTTTTTTCAACTTCTTTCTTGACTTGCAAAGTGTGCTTACTTTTTACTTGGTTTAGATTTTCCTCTGTGCCAAAAAGCTTCGTAGCTTCTATAAAGTTCTCTCATAAAAAAATATAGTGTCAAAGTACCGTAAAAGTGGGAATTCTATTGATTTGAGATAACATCTTTTAGACTTACTGGTGAATTGTTAGCAGAACTAGGACTATATCTCGCTTTCTTGTGAAGGTAAGTATCGGCATTTTGTCAATACGAGCTCATTTAATGATCATGTAACTAATGCCTAGGAATCTGCAGAACCTTTGTCTGATCTTCAGGTGGATTCTTGTTGTCAGGATCTATAGTGCATTAGCAACAAGAAAAAATGATGAATCTATTTCTAGTTAAAGCACTCCTGCAATTAGTTGATTTAGTTATCTGGGTCTCGTTTAGCAAGTTCGTTGACTTTGAGTCGTTAGTGCATGTGAGCACTTTTTGTATGCAGTTGCATGATGGTCAAACAAGAGTGGAAGAATAAGTACTATGACTGCATTTCTTTAATATTGTACAGCTTACATGCAATTTAATTATCGGAAAACTAGGGTTTTTTATACATGTCCAGCATTAGCTATTGTGGGGTATGGCATATAATAATAACAACGGCGACGACCATAACAACATCAACAACAACAATTATGTTGGTATACTAAAAATAATTTTTTTTTTTTAATATCTACATAGCCATTAGATAACTAGCTCAGTGTCCATCGTTGAGATGGAAGGCGCTTGTCATGAGAAACATGGATAGATATATTGACTTCTATTGTTAGCTTCTTATTTGTCCCAATTGTAACACTTGTACTAATATTCAAATCATTCCCTGTTGTTTTGCAGCATACAATGATCCTGGAGCATCTAAACCCATGGTTTTTTCCTGTCCCTTCAAATTTCTGCAGCATTCTTCCTGGTTCCAACCATGACTTTACGAGTCAAGCATACCGTGTTGTGCTATCTTCTCCTGTGGTATGCTGTCTTATCTCGAGAGGAAACTTGGATATTCATTATGGATTCTTAACTCGAGGAATGTTTGTTTTGTATCGACCTCTTTTATGCTAGTCAGTTTATGTGTTCTTATCCATGCTAGCTACTCTTAAACTGCTTCGCCTCTGCTGTCCTCTAGATGCTGCGATGTAGTCGGATATTTCACTCTTGTATGATTCAACTTCTTAAGTAGCTAGGTGTCTTTTGATTTGAGCACATTCTCGTTATATCATGCCTTGTTAGTTGAACTTGAATCACAGCGAGATTTTCAGCCTGTACTCAAACCTTTCCTGGAATGTAATTGCGAACTAAAAATGTTAAAATCATTAACTGTTCGCTGCAACGATTGGCTGAAATAGATCTAGTTGCAAGTGTGGATTCTCAACTTGTTGAGCAATAATAGTTAATAATTACCATCAAGGTGTTGGCTTAGTTGGCAGGGGGAGTTTGTTCCTCTCCTTATGATCTTGGGTTCAAGTCTTGTTGAGAGCACTCCAGAAGTCAAATTCTTAATGCACCAGGCCAATGTGGGGGGTGCACCCTTAAAATCACTCGTGGTGGTGGATGTGAAAGCTGGGACGGACCCTACCTAATTTCTAAACTCAAAAAAGTCAATAATTCAATATACACTTTATCATTGTAATGTGTGCACATCTGAAAATCCTTTATTCCCCTAAAAAGTGAATTGAAAAGAATTTCCAAGTGGCTGTATTTTCCTACAGAAAATAAGCATTCGTTAATCTTTTGACATAATGTGAGAGCAAAAGCAAGGATGACATTTCTTGTCTAACAAAGAGCTTTTAATTCTTTCCCACTCAAAATTATATTTTTGTCAATCTTTCGGTATCACGAAGTGCCTTAAACTTGCAATTGTAGTGTGAAAACAAAGGCTTTAAGTTTTCAAAGGTATGTTGGCTACCTTGAATATGATACTTGTTTTGTTTGAAGTGCAGATGCCTGATGTAGTTGTCGAGTATGATATGTCAAGACGTGCTCTCTCCACCATCCAACAGGAGGATGTGAGGCGTGTTTCAGCTGAAATTGGATCGTCCACCACAGACTATGTCAAAAACTTTGTCAGCCCTATAAATGTAGAGAACATAAAGGAGGAACCCAACGAGAACAGTACAATGCAGGGTTGGAAGGACTTTTCGGATGTGTACTGCTGTGAAAGGAAGGATGTTATTTCCCATGATGGTGTCAGGATACCTCTGACAATTCTTTACTCTAAAACATTGTGCCAGAAGGGAAAGTGTCCAGGCCTTTTGCATGGATATGGAGCATATGGTGAAGTTCTAGACATAAGCTGGTGTCCAGATCGTCTAAGTCTACTCAACCGTGGTTGGGTTGTTGCTTTTGCTGATGTCAGGTTGGTTCAACCAGATTTTGTTCATCGATTGTCTGTTTTGATACATATCCATTAGGAGCAACAGCTCTTTTCAGGATTGTCAACATGGCTAATCTAATTGATTTTGAAGTTTTACATTTTTACCATGGCATAAAAATTATGGCTGGTCTGTTGATTAGATCAGATGTGATGATTTATCCCAATCGGAGTACTAGACAGCCGTCCTAGAAAAATATGAAAGAGGATATTTGTTTGCTATAATAGATACTTAGGGGGAAAAGGAAAAATTTAAGGAATAAGAACTCTTTCAAGGTTAATTACCGCATTTGTTATCTGCCGAAACTATATTTTGGATTTGGGATAAAAACTGTTGTCTACACATTCTGTTTATAATCTGTTGTAGTCCAGGCTCTGATTTTCAGTAATTTAGCTGGCATCTGAATGATCTACTTAATCAATTGCGTTTTGTTGAATATTGTAGTTTAACATATATTTTGAATACCATTTTTTATGTAGCAGAGGCGGGGGTGGTGTTAATTCCTTGTGGCATACTTCTGGCCGTGGGGCATACAAGCAGAACTCTATTCATGACTTTGCATCATGTGCTAAGTACCTTGTTCATGAGGGTTATGTTCGTGATGATCAGCTTTGTTCTATAGGACATAGTGCAGGCTGTCTTCTTGTGGGGGCTGCTATAAATATGTATCCAGGTCTCTTTCATGCTGCCATTATGAAGGTATGCACTTTCCAGTGTGGTTCACGAATCACACATCTAGTCTTTTATGTTGTCTACAGAGGTTTATGCCCATTGATGGTTTTAAAGTTGTTTAGAATTCCTGAAGAAAAATTAGTGTATTCTATGTGAGTTATAGACTTAAGAAGACTCTACCAATATTTATCTTTTCGTTGCTCATGGAGCGTCAGTTTCCCCTGATAGACATAGTTACTTCAAACAATGGCAGCAAAGGTTTAACATCATTATGTGTGATTCGTAATCCTGTCACCTGCTGCAGCAGCTTCACGATTTTAAAACTTCTTTTGGAGTAATTGTCTATTGATCTGCTTCAAACTGGAAAGACCAGAGTGTAATCAAATTCTGAACGCTGCTCATTATTGCCACTTTGAGTAATCAGATCATGCTGATCCTTTGCTTCTGATTATTTCGAAGCAATGACACCAAGATAATGTGCCCCAGGTACCTTTTCTTGATATATGCAATACATTGTTGGATCCTAATATGCCGCTTTCCATATTGGACCATGAAGAGTTTGGAGATCCTCGTATCTTGCCGCAATTTGAGTCCATCATGAGTTATGCGCCTTATGATAACATTCGCGAAGGGGGATGTCATCCGTCAACCCTTGTTTCAGCATCATTTCTCGACTCAAGGTAGCATGTCTTCATTATTGTAGACATGCATTTGTTCGCAATTCAACTCATAGGCTTGATGCGGCTTTCTCTGATTTTGTTGATCCAGGGTTGGAGTGTGGGAAGCTGCAAAGTGGGTGGCTAAAGTGAGAGAAGTTGGGTGTTCCCGCTGTTCACATTCGGTAATTTTGAGAACAAATATGAGTGCAGGACATTTTGGTGAAGGTGGACACTATAGGCATCTTGAGGAAACAGCTTTTGACTACGCATTTCTGATGAAAGTTACTGGGGCTTTCAACAAGTGATTTTGTAAGGCTTGAAAAGTGAATCCTATTGGTGAGAAAAAAGAATGTATTAAGGTTTGCACTCAACTAACAAGTTCCTGCTACACGCTCTACGTTTATCACTGGCGTCAAGGGACTGCTGCATGCTGTTACGGGAATTTGGCACATGTGTAAGCTATCCTCTCCTAGTCGGTTCTTATTTTGTTATTTGTATTCGATTTTTTCATTCATGTGAATTATTTTCTTTTAGGAAAAATTTTCACCTGAGTATATTCTTACTGGAAACTATGGGACAGTGGTAGGCACTCCAAGGGAAGTGAGTTTGTGAAAATGACGTGTTCATTTTCGAGATTTAAATATGTATCTTTGGTTGACCTGGGAAACTTTTCACTTGTTCATATATTTTCCTGCAGTTACTTTAGCGCAGAATAGGAAGCCCTAAATTCCTTGTTAATGAAGTCTATTCATTCGATTAGTTGATTGTTACTATGCAGATGGTTCTATATGTGAAGACACCCGGGAATTCCTGTCCCTTTCTCGAGCTTCAGTATGTAGGGCTGCTTGATATGCAGTCACCTGGAACTTATGAGCAGTTAACTGCCCTTCGTGTGCTGGGAGTAGGATTGCCATCTACGAACGCTTATCGAAGTTTCAAAGCCTGTTGTCTTTAAGCTTTAATTTCTATGCGAGATAACGGGCCTCAAATCTCGGACCATTCTTGATCCGAACTAATGTTCCGAGTCTGTTGCATAAATTACACAGTTACATGCTAATCGTACATGTCATTGGCATCCATCAACTTTTGGCCCGGGGAACATTTGCAATCCATTGTTATCCAAGCTATGGCTGCAATTACAGGGAGGGTTGATTTGCAATTGCTCAATCAAGTAAATCGATGGGGTATCGTTTTTGCAGCGAGCAATTATTAGTAACACGGGTCAGTTAAACACTCAAATGTTCTCCCTATTTGTGATTCCGTTTCCCCACTCCTTGCTGGACTGGTGGTGGCTATTCTGTTTTCTTGTTCGTCCCCTCAAATGAGAGCTGCATTTGGCATACTCATACCGCCACCCATCGCCGGAGCTTGTTCTTTTGCAGATGGTCAAAGAAAAAAGGCCCCAAGAAGCTGGATGTGCCTTCTGCATCTGCTTATTCGTGTATGCTCAAACATTTCTTGCTAGATTGTGTTCCTGTGGCCTGTATTTATCCGCGTTAACGAAAGTGAAATCAGCAGTCATCTGATATCATCAAATTCCACCATCTATTAACCCATCACTCTTTTTTGTTCGTCTTCAGTAGCGAATCATTATGGGTAAGTACATGGCACCCCAGCTAAGGAACTCATCGCTAATCGACTTAAGCCGTGTTTCAGTTATTATAAATGCCAATCTGGGTTATTAAGCAAGATCGCACATCTGAGTTCGCAAATGTTATATTCTTTTTCACGAACCCGGGACCTACCCTTTGCCACCAGGTGGATATCAGACGGTGTTTAGTGCAAATTTTAGTTACTCTTTATACTAACAGAGTTGATTGGATTTTTATTTTTTTTTGGTCTCACTCATCTTTTCTTTGTATATATATGTGTGCATGCGCGCGCGCGCGGTACTCACGGGATCGAACCTTGGACCTAGTACTTTCCAACCCCATCGCCCCCTCCCACTCCAAACCAATCCCTTGACCGGCAAGGCTACATTCATGTTGGGAGTTGATTGGATTGATTTCAACAATTTTGCTAGTCCCCAAAACTCCCGTAGCCGCATCGGGCAATCACTTGCTAATATGTTTATTTGTTATTAAAAGCGAGTCCCTTTGTACAAATGTCTTTCTATCCACTAGTGATTAGTCTCAACAACAAAATATCATCAGCACAGACAAGGTTCGAAATCATGCGTGCCCTTTTAAGAAGAAAAAAGGGTCAAAATGCGAGTACTTCATCTTCGGCGCTACGAAGTATCTCGAGACTGGTCTTTCTTTTTGTCCCATCGTCTCCGCATCGGGCGTGAAGGGCCAAGAGAGGGAACAACAGTGGAAAAGCGACGCCAAAATGGGCCACTCCTTTTCGGGTCTTCCGGTTGAGGTTGAGTGCGGTGTCAATTTTTATGGGTGGGTCTTTTTCATATTAATTTATAATTTTAATATAATTTTTAGCGATCATATTAAATTTATTTTTATGTAAACTTGTAATGGGTGATGATCATCCTCTTCTCTCAAAGCTCAAAGTGCTCGAGCTCAGAGCTAGAGTGTTCGAGTTCAGTCTTCGAGGTCGGCATGACTTCGATCTCGTAAGCGATCGCCAAGCGCAATCACAACAATCCAGCAGAATCTATGAGAACCTTACGTTTATCACGTGTTAATGCTCACAGCGACGAGAAATGCACGTGCTCGAGAATGAATATGTATTAACCTTCCTGCAATTTCTTTTCTTTTTTTTTGGGGTTAATTCCAAAAAAAAGCACCAACTTTAGGTCGAGAGACAATTCTGACCCGAACTTTTTTTTGTCCCATAAAAAAGCACCAACTTTAGGTCGAGGGACAATTCTGGCCCGAACTTTTTTTTGTCCCATAAAAAAGCACCAACTTTAGGTCGAGGGACAATTCTAGCCCGAACTTTTTTTGTCTCGTAAAAAAGCACCAATTTTCATTTAAATCCCAAATTTGGCCCCCCCATTGATTTTCTGTCCGAAGTTACCCTTGTTTGAGAAAAAAAAGTTATGGTGGTGAGCCTAGCGAATCTCTTCCATGGCGTCTGTCGACAGGCGATGGTCTACAGTTTCAGATTACGACAAAACGACGAAGTTTGGCCAGAAAGATTCAATCTGGAGATATTTTTGACTTGCCGGTGAAATGAAGGAGACGAACACTTTCACCATTATTCTTCAAGCTGTGATTTAAAGAATAAGACAATGAATAATGCTTTAAATCCAGTCAGCAAGTCATGTGAATTTATTGCTAAGGTGGAATAATCAAGTTGGAAAATCAATGGTTTTAAGTCAATAAGGGCCAGATTTGGGATTTAAGTAAAAGTTGGTGCTTTTTTACGAGAAAAAAAAAAGTTCGGGCCAGAATTGTTCCTCGACCTAAAGTTGGTGCTTTTTTACGGGAAAAAAAAAAGTTCGGGTCATAATTGTCCCTCGACCTAAAGTTGGTGCTTTTTTTTAGAATTAACCCTTTTTTTTTTGGAGCGAAGTTTGCTGATATTTTTAAAAGATGGGCTTCAGTGAAAACTCATTTGAACTTTGCTTTTATTTGAACTCTATTCACTAGAACTCATTTCGATGTATTCGTAAAATCCGACCGACCAATTTGAAACCCAAGCTTGACAAATGTGAAAATGGGTTAATGGATCTATTTTCCTCTCTAGTGCGGGGCGCACCCCACCAATTCAAGTCAAATGTTTATCATGGGATGCTGCATCATCATCATCATTATCAATGCCATCAAATCCGGTAAAAAAAGTGGATCGATGAAGGAGCAATCCGTCATCTTTCTTGCTGTATAAAAATACCAAAGTAAGCGATTTCGAGTCTTCAATAAATCAGTTGATGTCTCGAGTTCCTATTTTTTCAACAGTATATACCCCAACTGGCCAGACTCCGATAAAGAGTCTCGTAAAACTCGACTTTAGTTTTCAAATTATCATCGTCACTGTGATATAGATATTTGGTTCACTCGCGTATTTATAAGCTGGTAGATACAGAAGGATACGTATGGCTCCTCTCGTTTCTTTATAATGCAATAGACGGTTGCTTGACAAGCATGCACGACTTGGATAAGAACTTAAAGTTCAAACAAGTGTCTGACTGCTTCACCTCTCCACTTGAACAACTCTCACCACTTTATATGCTCTCGTCACTCGTTTGCCATTAGTTCCCTGTCCATATTTTGTGATATTTTCTGCAGAATGTGGGTCTAATAGCTACCCATCAACTGAATTGAAGCTAATTCATATTGTTTATTAGCAGCGCGAACCGCATTCAACCAAGAACATCCATATGTAGCACACATCATGGAATTATCTCTGAACCATTAGCTACATCAAACAGTGAGGATTCGATGCCGTATCAGATCATAAATATCCACAAGAAATGACAAGACGGTATCCTTTACCCCACAAGAAAGAAAGAAAGAAAGAAAGGGAAAAAAAAACAAGAGCCGGAGAGAGAGAAAAGAGGTTAAATAAAAACAAAGTAAAGAAGTGATGAAAATGGAGATTTGGAAAGAATATCTAACTTTTCACGTCTTCTGGCGCTTCTGCACCTGATCCAGCCCTTCTTCACCTCTCGCATCTGTAACATGGGCCATTGTTGAATTGCCAGGATTGGGACTGCCATGATCCTGTGAGCAACCAGAAAATGTAGGAAACAAAAAGCAGAACCAGAAGGAAGGACAGACAAGACAGCGAGAGAGAGATGATGAGATCACTGAGGTAAGTGAACGTGACAAGACAAGCATAACCACCAGTGCAAAAGGACAAGAATCAAGTCTATTGCCTGCATCGTACCATGGGAATGGACGTTCCAGTCACAAGCCCTCCCCTATTCGCCCGTTTTCCAAGGTCAATCTGGACTGAGATTCTGGCCTGTGATAGATCCACACCCGCGGTTTGTAGTGCATTTGTCAGTGAATTTAATAACCTGCGGAGTGCATTATACAATTTGAAATCAACTTTTCAACCCATATATCTATATCCAAGAAGATGATGCTATTACAGTATGCCGAAGAATCAGCCTCAACTCAGCTGATAATGGTATGATTAGAACATTCAACTGCTATGAAGTAAGAATACCAGTTTAGATGAGTGAGCAGAGAGATAAGTTTTGGTAGTCTAATTGACATACAACTGAGTGAATAGAAAGAACACCAAATAAGAAGGATCAACGGTTTAGTAAAATAAAATACAATATCGTAATTATATGGCTCAAGTATACTGCTTTAATAATCAACAAGCTCATAATGAATAAAGCACGAATTTGATACCTAAAAAAGTCGTTGGAAGCAATTGCATAGGAACATTTGAAATGAACCAGGACATAGAATAGTGCACATCGTCCAAAACAGACGGCTGACAATGTAAAACACAAAGCAACTGCCAACGTCCAATATTGCAGCTTTTATAAGTTCGGTGGATAAAATCGTAACTGCAATATTTAAAGCTTATATAAGTCTCATACATAGAAATTAAAAACCCAATAATGGAATCGCATATAATGTCAGTCATCATAAACCTAAATTTCCAAGAGGTCTCCTTGATAAAAAAATCTCAACATCAACAACATTAGGAAATTAGAGAATTGGAAGAACCAATCATAGAAGATTTCTTTTACATGAGTTGCTTGTTAGATATGAAGAGGGAAAACTGATCATGAAGAGGCATAAACATCAACAGTTTGTTGACATGAAGAGGGAAAACTGATCATGAGAACCAAAAAACCTACCACCATGGACATCACTGTGCTGAGAAAAGCCACGTACTGATATAGCGGAAAGATAAGGCCCATCTTTGATAACTTAAACATATAGATAAAAGACACAGATCCATACTCACCCTTGAGAGTAAACACTTGAAATGCTGATTGTCCCCCCTTCAATAGTCAGATCTTCCCGGTGATCAGGTGCAGTGTCTGCAGTGCACTCCATCGGTTGGGCATCTGGAAACGGTCTCTGAAGATGATTGGAAATCACATCATCACTTCGGACAGAGACAGGTACAGGAACAGCAACATGCATTGCCTGTTTAGCTACCTCTGATTGCTGAACCATGAATTTGCTTGTGAGATCTCTTCCAGGATCTATTTCTGATGTATTCTGTGAGCTGGCAAGCATGTTTGAGGTTGTGCCAGTGCTATTTTCCTCCAACTTTCCAGGATATGATGACACAGGACCAGAACCATTTTTCATGGCTTGAGGTGGGCTGACGACACTTTGAACGCGCCAATGGCTATTTCTCTGCTTTGAGGAAAAACCAAAAGTTACCAAGAGGAGTCTACTCAGTAAGCAAATTAGAACACATGTGTTCAAAATAGAAAAGTAAATTTCAAATACGTCGATGTGCTGCTTTTTCACACAATAGTGTGAAAATACTCATCACTAGATATTCAACACATAGTTCAGGAGATAATTTCCACATCTGTCATTCTGCTTCTGAAGTAGTACACTTCCAGTAACTTTTCTCGTTGCATTGTGTGGCAATGAGCAAAATGAAGAGCAGTCCCTCTAATTTAATGAAATGTATTCATCAGGAAACTATAACCAAAGCTGCCTTGCCGAAATTCAACAAATGATGCAGTGAATGGAGACAACTTGCAGAATGGGTACGAAACCGCAACAATTAAACTTAGCCATAAGAAAAACTGTGACTTGAGTTCAAAGTTTTCAGAATAAGGTACATCAACAGATGCACCCCACGTTTGTGTTTTAGAACTAATGAGGCCTGTCAACAGAAATTGGGTACAGGATCCAGATTGAAGTAGTGAATAAATACAGGTCTAACAAACAAATGACAGAAAACGGAAGAGTGAAAACACAGAAGGCATATCGAGATAATAATATAAATCAAAACAGAACACCGTGACGAATCACACTGAAGCAAACACACACTAGCCCGCATATAAATACATCAACAAACTATTTGGTTGAACGTAGAACCAGCACGATAACTGACCCACGGCATCAACTTGGTGGGCTCTGAACTCCAACCCTGGTAGGAGTCTTCATGCTTCTGTAACTTTTCCTGTAAATACCGGACATAGTCAATTACCTGCAGGCAGTAAGAGTCAACCAATTAGGCAAACCATCTTAAGGAACCACAAGCAATTGGAATTCTTCAAGAACTCAATTTACCTCTAACAAAAAGGACGCTGTATCTCTCTTTTGGTCACTATGGGGTATGAGCTCTCTCAATATCTGAAATCTGAAACCAAAGTTCCATCAAGAAATATGGTTTCCTATCGATCCAAAAGTTATCATTCATGGTAAGCTACTTGTATGTCGTGGGATAGTAGATGAGCTGACAATGAATCCTGATGGACTAAAAAGAAAGAGAGAAGAAAACAATACTTGATAAGGCAAAGAAATTTGAATGTCACAGAAAAGTAGGACAAAGATTAGGTTCACCCCATTTCTGTGCACAACACAACACAACTCTTTTTGCTAATCACCAATCGAACACAGCGCATCATGGTCAATCTGTTGATGAGACCACGAGGCTCTCACAAAATTCACCATTGGAGGTTGATCATACACGACAGAATCAAATCGGGGCACTCTGATAATGATGCAATAGGACAGACCTCTCATTGATTTTGCTCCTCCTCCGTTGCTCCGTGACCGAATGCTTCGATCTTATGGCATTCGCTTTATCGCTGTTCTTATCTGCAGCACAAATTGCAAATCTCCACAATCAGAGAGGACCAACACCGCTTACTAGAGCTACAATTCAGCAACGAACCGAACTCAACATGTCCATATATCCGAAAGAGGCCGAAGAAAAAACCTATTTTCAGCAAATGAACTGAAAAGAAAATGAAACGCATACCGCCAAAAGGCCCAGAATTTAGCAATTTCCGGATTAACAAGTCAAAACTAGCAAAAGAATTCAACAACGCATGCGGAGTCCCTGGTCCCAAAAACCGGTGGAACAAGCAAGCGTCCCTCTACTAGCACGCTGAACAAGAAATCACCATCCCCGAGAAATTTATTCAATTGGGCAGCGAAAATCCCGACACGGGAAGCGACACGATCGACAAAGCGCGTACCTTTGAGATTCGCACTGTTGCTGCTGTTCGAAACGTTCGAGGAAGGGCCATCTTTCTTGGAATTGAGATCCTCCTCCTCGTACTCCTCGTACTCCTGGCTCCCCTTGCCCGATCTCATCCTCCGGAACCCGAGCTCGAACTCGCGCGAGCCGCGCAGAAACGAGGAGAGAGAGAGAGAGGGAGGGAGAAAACGGAGTTCGCCGGCCGCCCAGATTCCGACGAAATTGGCGCGTTCAGCGGAGACCCAGATGGGGAGACGGGCCCGGGGTTCGACGGGTACGAGAAATGGGAGGTCTTGCGCACGCCGTTGGGACAGCAACTGCTAGCACGAAGAATGCGTCGCAGGTAGCCATGACTGGTTTTTGTCCATGGAGGAGAGAGAGAGAGAGAGAGAGAGGGGGACAGAGGGAGGGAGGGAGGGAGGTGGTGGGGAGGCGATACGGTGCGGGCGAGCTCACGCGACGCCCGTGAGCTCGCAGAGTGTTTTGGGGCCAAGAAAAAAAAAAGAGTTCGCTTTTCTTTACGCTTTCCAGGGACGAGTGCTCTGCGCACACATGTTCGACAGCCAATCGAAGAAGAATTTACGGCTGAGATATTTACAGAAATCCTCCTCCCTTTTTTCTCTCTTTTTTCTTTGCTTTTCTTGCTATGCTCAGATATTTTCGAGCAGCCGGCCGGCGGGCCGAGCCTCGAGGCGAGGGTCTGCCGGGAAGCCGCCCTAAGAGGGCGGGGCTCCGGCTTCGTATCGGCGGCGGTGCGCTCGCCCGGTGTGTCGTTTCTCCATCTTTAATTTGTCCAAAAGAAAAGAAATGATCGCGCCATGGTCGGATACTCTCCCCCTTGGATCATGCCATGGAAGGTGGCTCTCCTCTCCGATCCCACGGTGCCCTATGTTATCCGATTAGGTATCGGTCCTAACCAACTCGATGATTTTCCAACTAAAAAGTAGCCAAAACGACATATCATATGATTTTTGTGTCGTCAAGTATGTTATGTAGTGTCCGTAGATTTCATGCTAACATGGTGTAACAATCATGTGTTATTTATCGTTCATCGCGGGAATAATTAGAAACGAGGCTTTTTTAAATTGAAGTGGTAAACAGAGTTCGTGGATATGAGCATAATATATATCCTCGGATAACTGTATCGGTTGAAATTTTTTTTATAGAAATGTTTTCCTCTTGTTAGTAATATCAATAGGTAAAGCATAATCAACAGGATTTTATTAAAAAGTAATTTCAAGTACCTTGTTATGTAACTAAACGAGAAAATTTCACGATTTCATATTCTCGTGACGTGAAAGTGGTACTTAAAATCCCGAAGAAAGATTTCTGTAACACTCCGTTAAGTTGACATCAATTGAAAGGACTTCAATTGCAGCACATGATCCACTAAACAAATTTGTATGAAGCATTGGCTTTTCTCTAATTTAACTTGCGGTTTCATTCGAGCAGCCAAAAAAGAGACACAGAGTGGTCTATTCTGTCGTGCCCCAGTTGCCGGCACGAATTGATGGGCCATGTGCGCTGCGCATTTCTAACACGGGACGACAACATCGCATGAAAAGGAGCCCCCTCCTTTGTTCAGTTTTTTCCAATTGCTGCAAAGGAACAGAATAGGCGCACGAAATTGGGAAAAAGACAGGAGTCACTGATAAAAAAAAAAAAGTTGTACATAGACAGAGATATCAGCTGCACATTCCACCTTCTGTGTTACTATATCGTATTTCAGTTTCAGAGAGTCGCTTGCTATCTCTACACATTAGTTAGGCAAATTCTTGAAACCAGGTCCTTGGTATGGGAAAAAAGAAAATGGTAACCTCTGGCCGACGTGGTTCATATATGCCGCCATGGCCGTTCGGCTAAGTTTATGCATTCGTTGTATCGGTAACAGTCCACGAGATGGTCGATCGTCAAGCCCGCGGCTTGCATGAAGGAGTACACGATCACGGGGCCGACGAGCCGGAACCCTCGCTTCTGTAGGTCCTTGCTTATGATCTCCGCTTTGGGAGTCCTGAGAGGGACGTTCCTCGGGTACTTGAACCGGTTGATTGTCGGCTTGTGGCTCACGTAGCTCCACATGTAGTTGCTGAACGATCCGAATTCGCTCATGACCTGCATTAAAATTCCAGGTGTGTGTCCGGTTAATTAATCAGTAATCTGTATAATGTGAACCTGCAAAAAGTACGTGACCAATGTGTATGTTCTTCAATGCTTGCCTTCAATATGCATTTGGCATTGTCTATTATGCACCTTACTCTGCTCTCTGCTAACATCATTGCCTTGTCGGAGGATATCTCTTCAACCTCCTCATCTCCCATTTTGGCAACAGAGTTAGGATCAAATTCAGCAAAAGCTTCTCTGCATCAGTAACACAATAATATGGGGCAATTAGTTATGTCGAAACAAATGGAAGTTCAGCCAAATAAATAGATTTTAAGTCCCATAATGAGCTAATTGCTCGATGACCATTACCTACCTATATAATTGCTTTCTTTTCAAAATTTCTGTCCAATTGTAGTCCATCAGCATGCCCGACATGGAGAGTAGCTCGAACAGCTGACTGCGTAGCGTAAGGAATCAGGATAAGCAACGCAACAAAAAATGTTAGCTGGCAATGGAATTGAGAATTGGAGATGGTTTGACATACTGGTCGTCGTAAACCGGGACTCCCCAGCACTCATCGTGAAACGATACGTAAACTTCATCTGTATCCAAATCATATTTGTCATTTAATAATTTAATTACCTCTGAATTAAGTTTAGTATACTCGCTTTTATCTCTTAGATGGATGCATATAATAAAGACCACAAAGTAGGTGCAAGAGAATATATTATAATGGATTATCGGTGTTTGGTACCTTGTCTAGATTTAAGACTAGTCATTATACATCATTGACAAATTTAAGATGCTTCATGGCTGGTGCAGTGGCGTTGCAATATTCATATCAAGATGAGGGAACAAGACAACAGCCAGAACAGGTACCTTCATTAGTAATAAGGTGAGCCTCTTGAATCAAGTGCTTTGTAAAGAAGGCTCGAAAACTCTAAATTTGGGCAAGCTGTCGATTTTATTATAAGGTTGACCATCACTTTCCTCCGTCTCGTTGATTACTCATCTCTAACGACCACAGCTGCTCTTTCTTTGAAACATTTGGGGACCACCCAAAGTCAAAAAAAAAAAATAGAAACATTGCTTTACGACTCCCTGGACTTTGGTAAAATTATAAAGGCAGATCATCTATGCCACAATCTTAGACTTTGCCTGGAGGAATGGTGTTTTGTCATCCCATTTTCGTTTTCTTCTTAAGGCAGGTTCAGTTCTCACGCGTACGACGAAGAGGGTGATGCTGCTTAATCGATAATTGAGTAATTAGCAGACTAAATCTACATCTCGGAAGTACAAAAACCTGAGAATAGCATGATAAGCACCGACTAATGGGGTGAAGAAAGGGTCTTTAAAGTAGGATATCGTCGATGTAATGAACTCATCCAAAACACTGTATTGCAAAAAGATTTTCATTAAATAAATGGTGGCAACGCGTATTAAGTTAGGCATGCAAAGCTGATCTCTTCTCATGCATTATCTTTACTTGCAAAAGGAGTCTGTGTTAACACGTAACACGAGCAATGTCAATGTTTCAGCAAGTAAAAAAGCTTAAAAACTTCACAGGTCATCAGGTGCGTTCTCATGGACATAGTGACACGAAAACATACCACTGTTCTTTGTAATCCAGTTGCATCTCCTCACCTCCCCACCATCACTTGGAGTCGGACTTCCGGGCTGAACATTCATATTCTGTGCTGACCGAACATTCCTAGGAAACAGCGTAGTAACTCCTGATCTTCTCTCCGGTAGTCGGATGAGGCGTAGCGCCAATGCTATCTTGTGATCCAGTGGGGAAGTGGGCTCTGTGAGGGACGAGTCATTAGAGTTCTGGGACAACGACAAGGACAGGGACGAGAGTGAGAGGGATGAATTGCTTCGGTTGAGGCCGATCGGGTATATCTTCTTCAGGTGCCTGGACAAGAAGCTTTGGCTTGACTTATCCTTCTCATTGAGAAATTTGTTCGTCTCCAGAACATTTTTCCTCACACTAGCTCTAGACATTGTCTTGATTGGGTAAGGAAAATATTTGGGGTGGTTCTCAATGGGGACTTATAAAGGGCTTTGGGGGATCTAAAGTGAGAAAAAAGGTGGGTTGATAAAATCAGACCATGAGCAGGTTGGTGAAGGGTATGTTTCCTAGTGTGTGAACCATTTTTGCTACTTAATTCTCAAGCAAAATTCACACAGTTAGGTTGCATTTGATAAATTGTGAGGGCTCTTTTCAGCAAGAAGATGCTTGTGAACCTGCGTTTATATGATGAAGCTGAGAAAATATGTGTAGATTGAATTGAGACTTGCCAATCGTTGCACCTTTGCTATGGTTGAATATCCTAAAGATCAATAAAGAAAATGCAGAAAAGAATGCATGACATTGGACCTCTTAAGTTAGAAAGATGTCATGTCGTCGATGGATAATAGTAAAACTAATACATTTTGAAGAAGTTGCTTTCTTTTCCTGCTACAGTTCTTCAGCTCTGCACCAGCAGTGATTGATTATTGAACTACATCACATAATCAATCATGGATTAAACTTCAAGGTTCAACCTTTTGATTGCAAGATCTCGGCCATTTTGCATACTAACTTGTTTAATGTAACGCTTACATCCATTTAGTGGGTCATGGAATGCCTAAGGCTAAACAATTTGGTTCCTCGTGACACAATACATCGTTCACTGGAGTGATCTGTTTTTGCTTTTGGGGTTTGAATTGTTGGCTAATTACAGTCCAAATCGAGATAGAGCAATAGTTAAGAGGGTGAAGAAGATAATGAAAGTAAAGGTCGAAGGCGCAGGGAATGGGAGCTGCAGAATTTAGTCGCAGTGTTTAACTGCAGTTCCATTATTCCAAATGACAGGTGTGAAGTTCAGTAATTAAGGAAGAGAAGTTTTAGTTGCCCTGTTTGTCTCAATGCAAGTGAAATGGGTCCATTGTGGAATTCTTAACCCCTACTCATAAATTCCAAGTTCCACAAAGCATTGAGGTATGCCTTTTGCCTGCACAGATAAAGAAATCTCATCCATCAGCATTGTTTCGTAGATTCCCTTCACTGTCAACCATTTGACCGTGACAGGTTTCAGAAACAAATGGTCTGTGAAGTCTCGTTTTCAGCAGAAGCCGGAGCCATAACTCCAAGGGCAGCGTGTGCATGTGAATTTGTCGGTTCTATCGCGCAGCACAATTCGTCGCAACCATGAGTGCATGACCATTTTCACACATGGTATTGGAGTTAGGAGAAGGCAAGTGACTGCTGAAAAGGAGAATCCTGGCAAAATTTCCCGTTCAGAAAAATACGTGGGGCGGCCAAGGCCTGTTTGCTGGGCTAAATGGCAGTTCTTTTTCGACGTTCAAGCTTCACCCACTTGAAGATTTTTAGGGTTGATGATCCATTGTGCATCTGGACAAAACTCGACCCGATTGGGCTTCGTCAAAGTGATGTGTTAGACCTGTTTGGCCAAGCAGACTGTTTAGAACAAAAACAAATGGTCATGGTTTGGCTAAACTATTAAGTGTTGATTGAGACAGATTATGATGCAAAAAGAGATGGTTATAACGGTTGCGTCTCAACCTTCCTCACACCAATTCTTCGTTTGACCGGCTTGTGGCTCCATGCACGTTACGCACCACAGACAAGAAAGTCCTCTAGGCATGGATTTTCGGACTCTTTCGATGCCCAAATCAGTTTGAGCTGAAATTGGCAAGAGTTGTGACTAATGAGTATTAGAAGTCTCTTACATTGAATGGTTGATTCCAGGCTATTTATTCTTGTTTTGATAGACTGGCATTCCCAATTTACGAATCAACCGAGGAACATCACGAGTGCATATCCAATATGTGGAAACATCATTGGGCCAATAGATCTTATCTATGAATTGATCATTCGAAGTGCGCGGTTTCATCGATGTGAGCAGACTTGCCAAATGCTGATATTGATCATTGCAAATTGTTGTTGTTGTCTTAGGACCCCTTCGGACCTCCTCGATTGGTATTTGCAATAGCGTCAGAATTGCCGTTGTTAGCCTATGTAGAATGTATGACCGCTGTGGAAGGATTCCCTTTGTGTGCCTTTCCACCTCGCCTTAGCTCCCAATACGGCGGATATCCAATTAACTCCCAACAATGACTCTTCTCATGCATAACCTTCCCATAGTTGTCACATTTTGGTGCTTTTTTGGGCTTGCTCTTCCAACCAAGAAGGCAGCACACCTCTTGATCTTCTCTTCCCTTCCCTGGACAATTGATCGTTGGCGCTCCTCCTATATGATCATAGAATACACCTTACCATGGAACGGGAGTGGCTCGAGGTTGAGAATTTGAGAACAAATATTCCCATAAGTCTCAGCATTGAGGCCATAAAAAAACTGATGGATTTTCAACGCCTCCTTCTTCTTCACGTACTCTGTGGCTATAGCACGGTACATTTTAAGATGTTATCATAGTCATCGAGTTCATCCCATTAGACCTTCAATTTGGTGTAGTATATTTCACCACCGAGAGTCCTCCCTGCTATAGGAGCCCAATTTCGATTTTGATCTCGTGGATGCAAGGTTTGCTACCTTGAGTGAATCTCTCCTTCAACTGTCCCAAATGCCTTTGCTTCTTCTACGTATGCCACACTTCCCTATAAACTCTTGTCGAGGGAATTGAAAATTCATGACATTATCATGGAATTACAGATGTCCCAGACATTAAAGTTGGGTGTCGTTGGATTCGACTTCTCTAGTGATCCATCAATAAACGAAGTTTATTTTTCGCCCGCAATTCACGTCTCGTTGTTTTCGACCATGTTTTACATAGTTATCTCGGGTCAGCACGCATGAAATGAGTATTCTTCTAGGATTGTCAGAGCTGTTGAGATAATATGGTGAGAAATGGTCAATCACCTTCTTTGTAGACACTTTTGCAGCCATATTGCAAACGATGTTAGTCAAATCGTCTGGCGTGTTTAAGTTCTTTAACATTGATGTAATGTGAAATTTTGTAGGACCATTGTCAATTGCTCTAATGTCATGTGAAATTTTGTGAGACCACTAGCAACGCCTCCCAATGACTCCGTTGATTATGTACCAATCACTCCTATTGGCTCCTCTCGACACTCTCTCTCTCTATTTCTCTTCACAGAGCTAATTGGCTTCGCCCCCAACTTTGGAGGATATAAATCTGACTTTGTTGCCTTCGACAAAGCCAATTCTGACTTGATCGAGTTCTGACAAACGAGCTCGGAGCTAGATCTAACTCTACCATGGTCGACTTGACAAAGGTGCCAAATCTGGTTCCGTGGCCTTCAACCAAGGCAGATTTGGCTCCGTCGACAAGGGCAAAGCCAAATTTGGCTCCACCACGTCCGAGTTCATTGTGTCCCAACTTTGGGCAGAGGAGTGCCAATGACGATGAAAGCCAAGGACAACCTCGTTGGCGTGAGGGGACAACACCACCACCACCACCACCACCACCACCACCACCACCACCACCACCACCACGTGTCTTAAAAAAGTAATCACAAAAGTTACTTCGGCTTTTTATGTTAGTCATATCGGACGGAATTAATGGACTTCATTGCATTCATAACTTGATTGCACTATCAAAAAATTTAACACTCAATTGCACTTTCCCGACAAATTCTTTATTGCACATATCCCTCTAGTAATAATGTATGAGCCATACTTAGAGATTAGATTGGTGTGATTAGATACATTAGTACAATAGTGGACAACTTAATCTTGGTGTGAGAATCTTAACCTGTGCAGAAAGACAATCTGTTTTCTTGCTTGTACAACCCGACATTGGTGCTGATGTTGGCAACAATTCAAGTTTTTGCTCGTTCCTGAATTGCATATTAGCTAGGAATCGGCATGGATCATCCGAGACTATTTTCATATTGGAATCCATTATGAGTTGACCTATCAAATGGATGAGGTCAAGTTGGGTAAAAAATGATCCAATCCAAGTTAACCAATTTAATCCGTTTTGACCTATTTTCATGTAATATAAATATAGTAACTCATACCCGACCCGACCCGACCTATATTGGTGAAACACTTCCGTATTTAACCAATTAAGGAAAGCCCATACCCAAACTGAGGCGAGAACTTAAAGTAAGCGAGCATGAGATCGAGTGAGGGCGAAAAAGAGTGAAGAGAGTTACAGAGATAGGTTGGATCTAAGTAAGCTCTTGACTTATTTTTATAACATATTTACTGAATATAATTAACTCATATAACAACACAGCTCATTAAATATGAGTTAAGAAATAAGTTTATGATATATTTTGACAAGTCTAATTATGAGTTGATTGCATCCAAAAATGGTGAGATTGGCCATAAAACGTGAAATGCTCCCTCGACAGATCTAACCATTAGTGGTCCAAGTCCAATGTAGAAGCCATGATGCAAGAGAAGGCAATCGAGAAGAAATGGTCAGGCGAGGTACGTTTGAGTGACTTGAACGGCAAATCACTATACTCAACACCTAACATGTTATAATATGATTGCCGAGGTTTAAAGGCAAAAATATTTTTATACTTTTCAACCAAAAAAAAAAAAAAACTAACCTATACTTCTCTTGGCCAAAAAAAAAATCATATGTATAATTGCTTCTTTTTTTTTATATCAGGAAACCTTAACTACCAATTCTAAATGTTGCGAACCGATTTCTTGAAATTAAAATTAAATTTCCAACTAACCTATCTGTAAGTAAATTGAAGAATAGGTAACTTTTCAATCCCTCAATCACAACTTAGCAACTTCTTTACCTGGTTGACAATATTTTTATGAAAATATAATCTCAAAATACTAAGTAATTATACCAATTATTAAGTAACCCTTTCACCATATTAGTAGCTTTATACAAAAGGTGAGTATGTTTTAGTAACTAATAATTTTTTCATGCGATTAGTAGCTTTCCACTAGTATTCAATATGTTAGGAAACAAGCAATCATAGCAATCACATTTTCGCTGTGCTCGATAACTTTTTATATCGGATAAGTATACATGTGCCTACTAATAATTGCTCTATTTTATTTTGTAACTTTGCATTAGGAAGGGCAAATGGCGACGTATCTATGGTTAGCAACTTCTTGGTATCGATAGTAACCTTCTCATGAAATTGTAAGCTCGACAATTAAAACATTTAGAGAATAGCTTTTAGGATGCCGACGACAAAATAGGCGGTCGACTGGTTATGTCGACATAAACCGTTTGCTGCATCATTTTCCTCTATTGATCTAAAATTAGAGATAATTGGAATTACATTTCTGATTAGAAAAAGCTAAAACCTTTTGCACGTGGATTTTTATTTCCGAAGTAATTGATTTTATCCACAGCCATCAAAAAGGTGTATTTACATGGCAAAGAAAAGGTATAATTTATGCAAACAAGACCAAACCACCTCTCCGTCAGCCATTTCCGGTGACCCCGCGGATGTCGATGCCGGCGAGTAGTTTTTGGCCCGACGTTTCATCTGTTTTTGAGGCAACGACGCGATAGGATTAAACAAGTCATTGATATAGAATCCAATGAAAAATAGAAATTGAAAAGAAAAGGTCATTATTAGTGTAGGAACTAAGGAATGAGAGTACATTCATTCCTTACTTTGTCTTCGTGGGCCTGTAAGGACCACATTCGGTCTTTAATTAAATAATTCGTGGGTTTCATGGGGGAACCACTGGGCCCATCAACCCTTCAATTTTAACGGCAATTAAGCCTCTCTCTCTCTCTCTCTCTCTCCATCGTTTGTATTATGTAAATCATACATTGTCTTTATCCATTCCATTCGAACCGGTTATCGCACGTCGAGTATTTATGAATTTTTCTTTTTCTCTTTCGAACTGACTAGAATTCATGTTCACCGACAGGTTCGATTAGATGAAAGTGTCGCGCTTTACCATTCTGTGTGCCCTAAAAGCTCTCGACGGATGTATGTTACCATCCCAATCGATGTGCATCGAGAAATGGTGAATGGTACTCCGGTAATTTGGCTAATAAGTTAGTTCTTGGGAGTTAAAAGAGAAAAGAATGGTCGAAATCTATCTCTCACAAACTTATAATTAATATGAGACTAGATTTTAATAAGCAGTAAAGAGTGATGTTTAGAATCAAAGCTAGAACTGGTGACGAGTCTAAGGAGGAAATTCATTTTCGCACCTCTCACTTGTTCTTAAATTTCGCAAATTATGAGATTTATCAATTGATTTTCTGAATGGATGCAACGTACCTCACTATCATTCCTAATACTAGAATGAGACCCTTATAATGCATGGGGACATTACGAATAAACAAAAGAAATTCAGCAATAACTCCGATGTATATGTTTCATGAGAGTTTTCTCGTGCCATACTTATAAATTTTGAGCACCTCAAAGATTTTAAAATAAAATAAAAAATTGAAAACATTATTAACGCATGAACACATCTAATGATCACATTAGTATAGCTACTTAAATATGCTTAATAGATAATCAAGGTTTGAGATCCAATGTTTGGGGATGGTCAGCACAAATTACCTTTTTTTGGCCCGTAGCACAAATTACCAAACCAACTTACATAATTTAACTTGTCAAAGAGACGCGATGGAAAAAACAATTGGTAAAGGATGGGTCTTGCATATGTTCAAAAATATTATTAGTAGTATCTATGAAATCACTAGTTGTTAATTAGGAAAAAGTCACCAAAAATCTCAAGTTATGCTCACTGTGATATATTTACCAAAAAAAAATTTTTGTCACATAAAAAATCTCAATCTATGCTCACGGTGACATATTTACCGTAAACTTTTTTTCCTACGACATAAAAAGCCCCAAACTTGTATATACGTGACACATTTACCCTAACTTGTTTTATATGTGGGGGCAAAGGACATTTCGCAAAAAATTGTCCTCAAGCAAATAAAAGGGATGTAAATCTTGTGGATTCCATTCACCACAAGAGTGGGATCTCTATTGAAGAAGATGATGATTTTTCAGCCAAATCAAGGTCGTCTTTATTTCACTTAGACCGCGCGAGTGGAATGTCAACACCATTTGCTCTCGGTGTCCAGGTAGGCAGAGTGCTAATTCACGGAACCTTGACATTGAATAAATATGCCACGCGTGTACAAGATTGGGACTTTCGTTGCCGCCGAAAAAAGTTTAGGGTAAATGTGTCAATGTGGATATAGCTTGGAGTTTTTGTTGGCTTTAATAATTATATATATATATATTTTTGGTCGAAATATTATTATGATTTCAATTGTGGAAAAGAGAGAGAGAGAGAGAGAGAAAGAAATAGAATCATTTATTGGCCAATTTACTGAGCTGGAAAATAGGGGCTCAATTCCCTCTCCAGCTCCGAAACAATTATTATGCCGGAAATCGCTCCCTCCATCCTCCGACAAATATTCTCTCTCTCTCTCTCTCTCGCTCTGTCCGCACCAAAAAAAGTTCTCATTTTTTCCTCTTCTGCTCTGCTCGCTCTCTCCCCTGTTCTCTCTGTGTCTTTTGGTTTGGATTGAAACTGCACAATCCCACTGGTTCTGAAACACGCACTCCCGCACAGACGGCACGGCCACAGCACCGCACACGTCCATCATGCTCCGTCTTCCTCCATCGTCTTCTCCAGTCCAACCCACCTAAGAACACAACCCCAGAAACACACACGCGCACGCACACTGTCTCTCTCTCTCTCTCTGTCCGGGTTTTGGTTTTTCTTGTTTCTAAATATAAATGGGTTCTGCGACGTCGTCGATGGCGGCCAAGTTCGCCTTCTTCCCGCCGACCCCGCCGTCGTACGGACTCCGCGCGGACGAGTCGACGGGGCAGCTGAGGATGAGCGACGCGGGCCAGAGGGACGACGTGGAGGTGATGAAGCTGCGGACCAGGAGAGGGAACGAGATCGTCGCCATGTACGTGACGAACCCGTCGGCCTCCATGACCCTCCTCTACTCCCACGGGAACGCGGCCGATATCGGCCAGATGTACCACATCTTCGTCGAGCTCAGCCGCCATCTGGGCGTCAATCTCCTCGGGTACGTCGAAAAGATTTCATCTTTTGTCTTTGCACAGAGAGAGAGAGAGAGAGACAGAGAGAGACAGATAGCGGTGAACAAAAATTTCGTGGGAAGTGATGAGTTTCTTGTGACGAATTCAGGTATGACTATTCAGGGTATGGACAATCTTCGGGAAAGGTACGATTTTTGTCTTGTCTACACGTTGAGTGCAGAGTGCATGGTGTGATGTGATGGAATCATCTGTTTTTCCAAGAGAAAATAGTAGAGTCTTCCAAGTACGTCAAACCTTCTGATTTGTCTATTGTCAGTGATAGACAATGGACTTTGACTTTGCAACGCTTGTATGATCGAATATTCATTTGTTGCCACTACGGACGTTTTAGTGGACAGATTTTCCTGCATTCCATTTCTATGGCCATTTTAAGTTAATCTTTCTGCGCAAAGCATAGGTTGACACAAGATATATTGTGGTCCACTAGTGTGGGGCTTGAGTTGTAACGCAGTTTCTCCTTGTTTTGCTGAGATTTATCGAGATCTGAATGCCCGTTGAGCTGATTCAGTCTAGTATCTGTTGAATTAGCCAAGCGAGCAGGACACATATGCTGACATAGAGGCGGCTTACAAGTGCCTTCAAGAGACGTACGGGGCGAAGGAGGAGGACGTGATATTGTATGGTCAGTCGGTTGGAAGTGGACCTACTCTAGAGCTTGCAATACGGTTGCCTTGTTTGAGGGCTGTAATTCTACACAGTCCAATCTTGTCCGGTCTTCGAGTCATGTATCCCGTGAAGAGAACATTCTGGTTTGACATATATAAGGTTTCCTTTGTTGTGATATGATTTCTTTTCTCAATTACTTGCGAAGAATTGTTTCGGCTTGCCGAAATAGATCCCCTCATCTATTTGAGTGATACTAATTTTGCTCTGTTGCAGAATATTGACAAAATTCCTCTGGTTAACTGCCCGGTTCTGGTCATTCATGTGAGTTTATACAGTGCTTTCAATTTGTCAGTGCACTCCACAATACACGATTTATTGGCTCCAAATTTGGGAAACAATTTAGTTATAAAGCTATTCATATCTTCTCTCTTAGATAAGAACTCACCAGTTTTATGATTTTTATCTCTTGTGGATATGTCAAAATCATCTGAATCTTGTATGTTTATAAACAAAATGACATAGACGCTGCGGATTTGCTTGAAAATGGAAGCCACAAATAATTAGCCACTTCGAGATTATCAGTGGGCACAAACCACATCCACCGAGGAGCAATTTCTGTGTCTCCTCTTTTATTTTCAGATGTGCCGTAGCACTGAAAACAAACATGATTTCATATGAATGACATCTTGCTGAAGCTTCATGATTAACTTGCGTCTTGTTTTATCCGAAGGGAACTGAAGATGATGTGGTAGATTGCTCCCACGGCAAGCAGTTGTGGGAGCAGTGCAGAGAAAAGTATGAACCATTATGGCTCAAAGGAGGGAACCACTGTAATTTGGAGCTCTTCCCCGAGTACTTGAGGCATCTCAGGAAGTTCATATCCGCCATCGAGAAACTACCTCGTGTTCGCGATGTATCTGAACAAAGTACAGATAATTCTGAACTTCCTCTGATTGCCACTGAAGCGAGTAGAGATAAGTCCAGGCTAAGCACAGATCATAAGGAGAAATCAAGGCTGAGCACTGGGCAGCAGGATAAGGCAAGGCTAAGTACGGACAGCAGAGACAAGTCAAGATCCAGCACTGACAAGAGAGAAAAATCAAGAAAGAGTGTGGATCGGCTCATGAAATCCAGAAACAGCACAGATCAGCCGGAGAAAGCTAGGAACAGCTTTGACCGGTTAGATTGATTGTTTTCTTGTTTACTATGAAATTGCTTGCCATGCAGTTAATGACTACTGTCATTACTTCATGACTGGTCTTATAGTTTTTGGGTTTTGAAATGGATGATGCAGATTGGGAGATATGGTGAGGTCGGTCGGGTTGTGCAATGTCGATTGCTTGAAGCCAACAGCTTTAGAGGCCTGAGCCTGAGGAAAGTGCCAATGCTTGTGACAACTTGTGTACAGATACTCCCTTTTGCCGATCGAGTTTATTTACCTGGTTCCATTTGATATTCAGATATCTTCACGGTGCTTCGGTGCAAACGAATAAAGAGTGGAAGGATTAGATGATTATGCACTTTGCTGTTGCTATGGTGATTGCAATTTCATTTAAAGAATGGGATCCAGAGATCGGGTGATCTCTAGATTCTCTAGTCATTTAAGTACTTGTTTATACACGTACTCAGCATCTTTGTTTATACACCTACTTGGCATCTTTTACTGTTTTCCAATTCTTTCTGCATCTGCTAGCTGGAAGTTCTGTCATGGAAGGTTGTATTGAAGAACATCGCTTTGCAACTTTAAACCGTACAAGGTAGCTGCTTGATTACGTGATCAAAATCAGCGGAAGGAAAATATAGAGGTCTAAAAAGCGAGAGAATCGATCCACTGGAACTCCCTCACGCATTTGGTTCTCTTCAATGGAAATAAGAAATCTGCCAACGTATCCACATGCCACTGAGTTGCAATTGTTATGCACAAGCTGTGAAGAAGATGAGCCATATGCATATGTCATGGGCCAACAGTTTTTTAGCCGCAAAATAGCTCGTGTGACGCCTGGTGAGCCGAGAAGGTTAGCCTTCATTGTATAGTTGTCCCTAAGAACAATATAGCGAATAATATCTTCACACCGAATCGTACCACGTCTAGTTTAGTTTGAGCATTTAGTCCCCTTGAGCGAGACATACAACAAATTTTGTTACAACAACTGATTTCAGTTTGCCATGACCTCATCAGGAGAGCAGTATCAACTCTTGACTAGTTTGTGCACAGTAAGCTAATCTCGCTTTCAGAGTTCCTTAGAGTTATAATTCTCTTTTCATCTCAATACCACAAAGCTCTACTCACAAAGTACTGGAGCACGGGAGAATTTGGTCCGTGACACATACACACTATCAAAAGATTTGTGCAACCAACGTTGAAAACAGAAGAATAAAAAATAAAGAAGAGCTTTGTGCAAGCTTATTCAGTCGTTCTCCCTTTCGGTCATTTTTTTCAAAGCGCTACGTCTTCTGGTCTTTTGGCCAAAGACCAATTATAATCAATCGCATTAGCTAATTCATTTGTTGGGGACCTGTCATTTCCCATATTCATGACTGGATGACCATCAATGATCCAGTAATTACCAAACATACACCAACATGTTTTTTTCCAAATGAACTTTTTTAGTGCAAGGATGCAAGTAAATCCTAGAATATAGCAAACCTTGCACTTGCAGAAAAAAGCCAAAAAAATGTAAAGTAAATGACACAATTTTTGGAGAAATTCTTGTATGCAATTGAAATATGTGAGCCTACTGTATCTTAGACATTGATGATGAAGTAAGATACAAATGATTTAATTATTGATGAAATGAGCTCACGTACATTGAGCTCCTCTCACGTACATAGAGAGGACCCAAATAATTTTTTTTAGTTTACCTAAAATGGAGAAAGAAAGAAAAATTTCAAGAGGATATTGTTACACAGCTGAAATGGCAGCATCTAGGCCTTACAATTCTCCACAGACATACTGCCAAGCAAGCCTCCGCCCTTTCCAATGTCTCAACTTCTAGAACCCTCCTCCTCTTAAGCCCTCCCTCAACCCCCCTCCTCCTATTTCCTCACTCTCTCCCCCTCTCTCTCTTTGTCACACCCACCTCAAAAGATAAGAACTTTGCAGTTCCTACACCATAATCTCTAGGGTTTCTGAGTCCCAAATGGCTCCGGCACTGAGCAGAGGCTTGGCCAATACCTCCCTCGCTTCGCTCCCACCGTCTTCATCTTCGTTCTCGCTGAATAACAGCAATAAAGTTTTGAGCTTGAGGAGCGCCTTTCTGCCGCAGAATGGGCTCAGAAGGGGGCTCTCCTCCGGCGGGTTGAAGTGGAAGCTCGAGAAGAGGGACAATCGGATTTCAATCCGTTTCCAGGCCGTGGTCGCGGAGAAGGAGGCTGGCGAGACTTCCGGCGAGCAGTTTGAGTATCAAGCTGAGGTGGGTTTCGCCTTGCTTTTTGATTGATCACGCAGGATTCTGAGTTTTTGCGGTTGTTTGGTGTGGGCTGAGCAAGAATTGTGGTTTAATTCCACAGTTGACTTCTTGAGTTTACATGTCCGGTATTTCTGACATTGAGAGCATAGTTGGTGACTGAAAGTGGAAGCTTGACTACTTTTTTGGAGTGATTGTTGCTGAACATTGTGAAATACTGAAAGAGATGGGCATGTAGAACATTTTAAAATAACAAGAGTAGTACACAAGGATTTACTCTGAAAGGTATTATGATTGGTTGATTGTTTTGATGAACCTGTGATTACAGTGCATTTGTCACATTGAGTGTGACTTCTGTATTCCAATCGCGTAGGACTGCACCCTCTGCTTCTGCTCTGATAAATTTAAACTTTGCATTTTTTGCAGGTTAGTCGTCTGTTGGACTTGATTGTCCATAGTTTATACAGCCACAAGGAAGTGTTTCTTCGAGAGCTTGTCAGGTGAGTATTTCACTCACACATATATCTTCATTTCTATGTGGAGCGACTTCTAAATTCTCGGTGAAGATTTTGAGCTTTGCCTTTATTTGTGATTTATGGCCGAATTTGGTTTCCTTGTTTCCCCTCTATCAGCAATGCTAGTGATGCCCTTGATAAGTTGAGGTTCTTGAGTGTTACTGAGCCTGCTCTTCTTGGAGATGCTGGTGATTTGGAGATAAGAATCAAACCAGATCCTGACAATGGAACCATCACGATAACGTAAGTCTATTATGGCTTATAGTTGAAGATGGTTTTATTTTATAGTATCTGAGAAAGTCATAGGATTTATAATGGTGTTATATGGGATTTCAGAGATACTGGTATTGGAATGACAAAGGAGGAGCTCATTGACTGTCTTGGAACTATTGCTCAGAGTGGTACCTCAAAATTCTTGAAGGCTCTGAAGGTTCTTGTTTCGCTTTCCATCTCCCTGAACTCCATCATTTGATAGTTTGGTTAATATACAATTGATATCCAAAATTTTGAACCTAACTCACTAATCTTATACTTTCAGGAAAATCAGGATCTTGGTCCAGACAATAGTTTGATCGGTCAATTTGGTGTTGGCTTCTACTCTGCTTTTTTAGTGGCTGAGAAGGTCTCCTTTAGCTAACCATTAATAAACCTTCGTTTATTTGTAATTCTTTTACATTGGCATGGTGTTTTTAATTTTCATTGAGATTATTTTCCTGAGGCAATGGTCTTCTTCCTGGCTAGTAGGTTGTTGTTTCGACAAAAAGCCCCAGATCAGATAAGCAGTATGTGTGGGAAGCAGTAGCTGATAGCAGTTCGTATGTGATCAAAGAGGAGACAGATCCTGAGAAACTTCTTCGTCGTGGAACACAAATTACTCTTTACTTGCGGGTATTGTGATAGTTGGATTGCGCACTTTGTTTGTTTATTGTACATTAAAATCAACATGTCCACCTCAATTAGTTTCCATTAAATTTTGGGCTTGTAGAATTTGCTGCGATTATCACAAATAGTTTTGTGAAGAGTTTGGCGTTTAAATCTAATATGTGTCATAAATCATACTAAAGCCTAAGGAGTCAACATAAGAGGTTATTATACATTTGTACTCAAGAGTCAAAGGATATCTTATTCAGGTAAAGCATTTTATTCTCTGACTTTTCTGTGCAAATTAATTTCTTGAAGCATATTTGGTGCATTGACACCAACTGACTTTGTCCTTCCAGAATTTGGTTTGGGCGGTTATATGTGTAACTGGGAGAATTACTTTAGTGAGCCACATGATCGTGGTTTAAAGTTTCAATACATTCTCCCTTTATCCCAGACATTTGATCTCTTTGTCTGTCCTTGAGAAAGACCTTGGTACTAACTTTTATGTCAACAATAGATGGCATGTGATGGCATTGGTTCTGCTTTATCTTAAATTCAGTTAATGATAGAGTTCTCTGTCTACTATTTCATGTCCCTTGGGAATAATATGATACTCCCCTTGTTATCGTTTTTAACAGTTAGCTTTTTGACTCATGAAAAGTATTTGTTCAGTTACTGCTGATTGCAATGATATTTTAACCCTCTATCAATTTTTTTGTTGTGGCAGGAGGATGACAAATACGAGTTCTCAGAGCCGACAAGGATACAGAGTTTGGTGAAAAATTATTCGCAGTTTGTTTCCTTCCCCATCTATACATGGCAAGAAAAATCGAGGACGATTGAGGTGGGTCCCCTTTGTATGCAAAGTGTATTTTTCTTTCCGAGAATTTGCTAGGGTTGAAGTCGGTGAATAGATGCTCTATGTTTTTTAGAGCTGTTTGGAAATTGAAGGTTAGAATCATGAATGGCCAGTCAATTCTTTGTTTTTATTTGAAATAATACTAGGAATTTTTTGGTATTAATTTCCTCTAAAACTGATACATTTGCCTAGATAATTATAGGCCTAATTCTCTAAAAAAACCCCAACTTTAGGTCAAGTCCCAAATCTGCCCCGAACTTTTTTTTGTCTTAGAAAAAACTCCCAACTTTAGGTCCAGTTCCAAATCTGCCCCGAACTTTTTTTGTCTTAGAAAAAACCCCAAACTTTAAGTCCAGTCCCAAATCTGTCCCGAATTTTGTTATGTGTAAAAAAAAATCACCAAAATTCAATTTATTTTCAAAAATATACCCCCATGATAAAAATGATCCTAGAAACAATGACCATAGGGGTCTTTGTAGTGATGGACAGAATGTCCGTCACTTTTGAAGTATTGAACCAGCTTTTTTGGGACATGGCATTTCCACGTCAATAACAAATCCACATCAACAAAATAATGGGGCTTTTTTTTAGACAACGAAAAGTTCGGAGCAAATTTGGACTGAACCTAAAAATTAAAAGTTTTTTCGGGTGGATTTGTTATCGTCCCTAACTTTCATATCCTAGAATGGTTTTATTTTGGAGAATTTTAACAATTTTTATTGGGTTGGATTTGTTATCGAAGTGGAAATGCGACGTCGGTCTGTACCTATTGCCCCATTACTTTGCTGATGTGGATTTGTTATCGATGTGGAAGTGCCACGTCAAGTTGGGACTGGATCACGGAAGTGTATTTTTGAAATAAATTGAATTTTGGTGATTTTTTTTACACAAAACAAAATTTGGAGCAGATTTGGGACTGAACTTAAAGTTTGAGGGTTTTTCTGAGACAAAAAAAGGTTCGGGGTAGATTTGGGATTGGACCTAAGTTTGGGGTTTTTTCTAAGACAAAAAAAAGTTTGGGACAGATTT